AATGTGCAGGTTCGGGGTGGGTATCTCGATACTGATCATACCTGTTCCATGGTAGGTCGGGTAATTTGTCATGGGGTGCGGGTCAGGGCAGGTCGACACAATGGGTATGTAATTTATATGAAAATCATTAGAAATATTCGTTATTTTCATTAAAATACCAAGAAAGAAACCATAATATGATAAAGTGTAGTTAAATTATTGGAGAAATTGAGTTTTCCACTTGCTTACAACTTTATTATAAGCTAAAATATGAGGTAATAAAAGGAAAATCCTAAGTAAATTTGACTAAAATTACATGTAATTTAGGCAAGAACGGGTCGAGAATGGGTCGGGTCGATGAAAGGTACCCATGTCGGACCCGCCCCAAAACAGGTCAAACAGGTCGGGTAAAACGGATCAAGTCGAAATTGCCATCCCTAGCGCCGATGTTTAAGAATAAGATTACAAGACATGTATCTCATGCTTAATTATAGGTATGTTGCAAACTAACCGCCTAACTTGTTTTGGTTGCAATCAAAGCATATAATTCGGATTTCGGTTGCAACTAAACCATATTAATCTAATTTCGGTTTCACCATCACAATTTCCGTTCACAAACTTAACGAAGGGTAACAAACGAAAATTATTATTATACTATCATTTTGAAGAAATTAAAACCTATATAATCAATTCGTACAAATGTCATCCTTTTTTTGTTATGTCAATTTTTTAACAATAAACAATCAAGTAACTGTATCATCAAATAAATAGGCCAAGAATGATTATTCGGGATATTATTATAATCATTGTAAATACATTGTATTCAATTGACATTTCGACCAATAGCTCGAACACAAAACTAGTTATTTACTATATACCACTCTCAATCCATCACTTGTGTCATGCCACAAAAGCTAACATTCTTCCCCAGTTTGCACATTCCAATTGTTGTGGCATGATCCCATCTAACTTATAATTAAAGATTGTGAAGTAGCTCTTTCTCTGATTCACCAAATTCATTGTTTATTAATTTCGTTATTATCTGGCGAACCACATGCGCAATTAATGACCATACCGTGGCGACCATCATGAAAGCTAGCTAGTATTAATGGAAAGTATAGTGATGTGTGTTACGGAAAAGAGTGGCTGAAATTCATGACATGAAATGTAGCAGTGGACCATTTGGTGTACATAATATGATCGATACAGGCCTCTTCCCTTGTAATTTTAAGTACTACCGTTCCAGTCCAACTCAAACCGTACTGGAGGTAATACCGGAAAATTTGGTAATATGGTATTTTGTGTTTAAATTGTGATTTAACCGTGACACAACTTTTTTATATCGATGAAATGCGTACCAATTTTAATTTCAATAGATAACTTCTTCGATTGGATCCATCGACCGGTATATATCTACTACTAATCTGACAAAGACCCAGCAGATTCGCAGCTTCAATTTGGATGCTAGGTGGCTAAATGATGACTTCGATCCGGAAATTGATGAACTTTGGAAGGTGATTATTTATATGAAATAATAGATTTTGGAATACATTGAATTTTAGGGAGTTGTTTGATTAGTACATATAGTTTGTAATGTGAAGATTATGTGTCAGTTCATTATGTGCGGGTAGGCTGTCTGTTTAATAAGTAACAAATTTGTGAAATTTTGAAAGGAGTAAAGTTAATTTGGAAATGGATAATTGTTTATGTAACTCTTATATTGCAATAATAGTTTTTAGGTTAATGGTAAATAGTTGAGTTAAGAATTAGATGGTGGCTTGCTTGTTGAGTTTAGTGCATTCACGAATACGGATTTTCCTTACATTTGAGGAGGTTCCACTGCTATGCTCACAAGTATCGGCACTTTCGTTTTAAAAAAAATATTATTTATGGTAAAAACTAAATGTGTACACATAAATTTTCATACAAAATTTTTTATGTGGTTTTTACTGTTTTGGGTCCATCAATCTCATAGAACCAAGAAAAATCAGGAAACAAAGGAACAACTTCAAAACTCAAACTCAGAAATCCAAACGAGAGGCTTTCAGCTTTGTTAGAGCTATTGGATTTTATGGCTTAGGATGATATATTTATGGGGAACAGGTGAAGTGCGGGCTTCGTGCAAACTGATCAGAAAAGATCCGGTCGACTCCTTTTTCCCCTTCTATTTTAACCTGGTTGCCATCCAATCTCACTCTAAAAAATATATATATATATATTTAGTTTTCCAGAAAGGGACATTTTTAATTTGTTGGCTACCTAGCTAGCAAAAATTGTACGTGGCACATCTAGTGGAACTATAGTAGTTGGCTTGATCATTGCTTAGAAATTTTATGAGTGCTACTCAAGGATTTTATGCATTAATTGATTGATGGCGTGGATCGATTACACGACCGAGTGATATTTCTCGAATAATTGGTTAGTATAATGGTTATTGGCATTGTTAGAGATACAATTTCAATTTTCAAACTATACTTTAAAGTATTGATGTTTACCATACTTTTAAAGCATTGATGTTTCGAGTTACAAATCAAACTTGAACCATAATGTTAAGAAATGTACAGTTTCAGTTATGGTCATAAAAAGAATTTATACTTTATGTTATGGTACGAGTTCAATTTGTATCATAACATAAAAGTTCAAATTCACGTTGTACCATTACAATAAAATATTGTAAAACTCTTCTCTTTTGTATATATAGTAATCAACGTGTTGGCATCTGTTTGAAGGGTTGAAGCGTAAGAACAGTCACTACAAGAACCAACAAGCCATGCACGTTTCACAATCACATGCATCTACGGATAGACCCTATAACTAAACTAACTAACTAGCATCGAATATATGATCAATCAAACCGCAACAAAATTCTTTCAAAAAAAAAAAACACAACAAAACAAACCTTTCATTTTCATTCGAATATTATATCATAATATAATACCCCCAAAGTTTGCTCTACCCATAATTCATACGCTTCTAAACTAATAATAAAAAGAATTTCTTATTATTCCTTGATTGATTGGGTGACTTGTACCAATGAGTCATTCGCCCGCCCGCCCGCCACAGGGAGATAAGAGATCCCAAGACAAAGAAACATGGAAATTTAACAAACAACACTCCAATCTCAATAATAATATAGCAAGGAGGGAGAGGATCTTGCTTTGTCTTTATATGTAGCTGCTTTTTGTCTCGTCGTCTTGATTTCTTTTGATGCTTCTCTTTATTAATAGAAAATTTCCGATACTACCCTCCTCAGTCTGCTGAGACTGGTTGTTAACACAAAAAGGATAATCGAGATTTCGAAAAATGGTAATCAGATTTTGCATGGAAGGATTTACGAGGCAGTCAAAAAAGAAGACAACGAAAAGGATGGTTGAGGCATCGGCCCAGCAGCAAGCCAGCCGGGCCCTTCTTTTCTTTAGGGTTTAGAATGGAATGGACCCATACATTCCTTCATATATGCTGTTTTACCAAACCGCATGCACTTTTCTTTAATCCCATTTAATTATAAAAAAAAAAATCGTCGTCAATGATTCTGAATAAGGTATGCGAGATTCATATCCGTCTTAATTCAGCTTACGCGCACAACACGTAAATCGTAATGATAGGTTTCTCAAACAAAAACGTATCTTAAATTTAATCGTACAGATGTTATCATCCTTATACCGTTCTTTTCCCTCCTCTCCAACCTTCCCTGACCGGCCCATTTATTCATTTCCCTTCTTAACCCTTTTGTGTGTTCTTCTTCCTTGCTAGCTAGCATTAACTCTTCTTCTACACGTACCAAACTTAGGTTCCCTGGTTGCCATGGATGGCAACGGATATCTATTTTGCAGGCTTAAATGGCATCGTCTTCTCTCATCATTATTCCTCCTTGCTCTGCTCTTCTCTCCCTAGCCAATAGCCATTCAATTTTTCAACCCCACTCTCATAATGTTCTTAGCAAGGTTGTCAAACCGGTTTATACCGTTGTGCCGGTTTGGCAAGTGGAATGGTACGACCGGTGGTATAACCAGCTTGTGCCGGTTCATGCCGGTTTAAAAAAATGTGAAAACACTTAATATCCAATGTATTTAATCATATTTAAAACATATTTGTGGACAATTTAGTTACAATCCAACAAATATAATTAACTTTTAACTATTACATTCATAAAATGAATAATAAATTAATTTTTTTATTCATTAAATTCATTAAAATGATATCATTTTACTTAGAATGCGTAAGTCGATCATACCGGTCATACCGGTAGTGTCATGCCGGTTTCATGACCGGCACAGGTTGAACCAGGTTCAACCGGGTGGCATGCCACCGGCATGACAACCATGGTTCTTAGGCTAGCTTCCTGGTAGGGATGACAATTTCGACCTGACCCGTTTTACCCGACCTGTTTGATCTGCTTTGGGGCGGGGCGGGCATGGGTACCTCCCATCGACCTGACCTGCCCCATTTTTGACCCGTTCTTGTCTAAATTACATGTAATATTAGTCAAATTATTTAGGATTTTCCATTTATTACCTCATATTTTAGCTATAATAAACTTGTAAATAAGTGAAAACCTTAATTTCTCCAATAATTTAACTACATTTCATCATATTATGGTTTCTTTCTTGGTCATTTATTGAAAATAACGAAAATTTCTAATGTTTTTCACATAAATTATATGCCCATTGGGTCGACCTGTCCCGATCCACGCCCCATAATAAATTACCCGACCTGGACCCGACCTGCCACGATGCGGGTATGGGTATCGAGATACCCGCCCCGGGACCTGCGCATTGCCATTCCTACTTCCTGGTGGTCCACTAAAATCCTTTCTTTCCATTCCATGGGCTCTGTCTATACCTGGCCCAATCTATGGGCCAATGGTACAAGAAGGACATAAGCAAGTGAGCTGAATCATAAGCCCGTGACTTGGGCTTTCGAATGCCACAGCCCACGCCTTGTTGATCGTAAAGTCCAAGCCCAACTAAGCTTGCGTCGTTTGGTCACCTAGCCAAAGGAATCAGGATTCAACCATGTGTTCGGCCGCTCCCTCCTCCCTCCCTCCCGAAGTCTCTGCTCAACACCATATTCTGGAGAATTGCGTTTCTCTGCTCAACACCATAGAAAGAAAATCAAACCTGCTCCATTCTTCCTTCCATCAACCGCTTCTTCTTTCTTCTCCTGTGACAACAAAAAAAAGCTCCCTCCTTTTTGTTCGATGCTCTGCGTAGTTTCAACAGCCTCGCACAGACAGGCATTCTCTACCCAGTACCTGGATTAACCCATAAAACATGGCGGCTTCCTTGCTTTGCCGCAGAAAGATTGCAGCTTTCACAATTTCTCGCGTCTTAAACGGTTCGAATTTCCTTTTGTTTCTCCTCCTTCTGAATGAACCAATGCCTAGGAAGTTGGGAAGTAACGGCTTTTTTGTTTAATTTTCTTCACCTTTCCCCGTTTTTCAGCATACAATGTGAAGTTGGACGGGCTTCACGTGGAATTGGACTATGGAGGTTCAGCTGGTGTATGCAATAGAAACTACAGCAGCAGAAGTGCCGCGAAGATTGATTTCACGGACCTGACGTAAGAACTCTGTGTTTGACTTAATTGAATTCACAACCTTCTACATAATTGGACAGCCTAGGTAGGAAAATGAGATGCTCGGGTAATTTGTGCAAATATGCTTATTGATTCCCTCGTTCTGAATCAGAAGGCATTACTTTGTTCTTGTCCTCACATTTTGGCCTAATGTGGAATGAATGTAAGTATCTGTTCAGCAACCTAATTGCCCTTATGGCTAACGAATTGCAGTTCTCCTCACACATGGTACCCAAAGGCCAGGAGAAAGATCCGCAAGGTTTTCCTGCACGTTGGCCCGACTAACAGTGGTAAAACCTACCATGCTTTGAAAAGTCTTCAATCCAATCCTTCCGGTATGCTCCTCGACTTCTGGTTCTCGAAGTTTTTGTTGCATTGTTCCATTTGAGATCATGGGGGTAAGGGAAGAGGTTGCTAATTATGTGCCCTTCTGTTGATTCACTTGGTAGGAATATATTGTGGTCCTTTGAGATTGTTGGCATGGGAGGTGGCAAACAGATTGAACAAGGCAAATGTCCCATGTGACCTTATAACTGGACAAGAGGTGGAGACTGTTGATGGTGCAAAACACAAGGCCGTTACAGTCGAAATGGCTGATGTGAATTCGGATTACTCTTGTGCTGTCATTGATGAAATCCAGGTAATAGTTTTGGTGGAAATGCTCTTGTCAAGGGAACTGTTTTAGCATTGTTTGCAGTAACTGTTATCTCTTGAGTTTGAATCCTTTTTCTTTGTTTTGAATTTTCTTATTCTTCCAGATGTTGGGATGTAAGACAAGGGGCTTCTCATTTACTCGAGCCCTTCTTGGAATTTCTGCTGATGAACTTCACCTTTGTGGAGATCCTGCTGCGGTTCCGCTTATTGAGGAAATACTTAAGGTCACTGGTGATGATGTCAAGGTAAAATATTATATAAGTTTTCATGCCACTTTTATTTTATTAGTTTCAAACGGTTAAGAGGGTCAATGTCATCTATATTTTGAAGCATGCTAGGCTTGTCCTTGTTCTTTTTCTTTAATGAAGCCATTGTCCCATTCTTAAATAATGGATCTTTGCTGTCATGTCTCAGATTGAAACTTACGAGAGACTTTTACCTTTAGTTCCCTTGAAGAAACCTCTTGGATCATTTGACAACATACAAACTGGTGATTGCATAGTCACATTTTCGAGGAAGCAAATCTACAAATTGAAGGTTAGCAATTTGTCCTTTCCTTTCTCAAGTTTTTGGGTTCTTGCTATAGGGTTTGCCTGCATTGATCTCCAAGGGAAGGCCATGTTATATGTTGTTTTTTGTGTTGCTGATTTATCACCAGATTTAATGTAGTAGAAAGTAAGTTGAAATTATTAGAACCGGTGCTCCAGCTGTTGATTTTGGTGGTTGGACTAGTTTCATGTCTATTTGACAAGATTGTTATTTGAACCTGAAACTTTGAGAGCCATACTAATCTGATTTGTACTTTCGCCTTTGCTCTTGGTAGAAAAAAATTGAAACTGGAGCCAATCATCTCTGTTCTGTTGTATATGGCTCGTTGCCACCAGAGACTCGAACGAGACAGGTACAGCTTCCTTTTCTTTTTGTCATTGTGGATGCACTAATTTTTCGGCAGTTGCCTTCAGAAGTTTTGAAATAGTTTCAAAAGAAATTCTTCTGTTATATCCTTTCGCTTTTAATCGCATTCAGAGGCTCTAGTTGTGGCAGTTTTAGTGTCTTTGTGAGCACCAAATATCCTCTATTCTATGGACCTGCTGAATTGTAATGGCGTCTAGGGTTGCAGGCAACAATGTTCAATGATGCAACCAGTGAATTTGATGTCCTTGTGGCGAGTGATGCAATTGGGATGGGACTGAATTTGAACATCTCTAGGATTATCTTTTCAACGATGCAAAAGTTTGATGGTGTTGAGATACGGGATCTAACTGTATCAGAGATCAAACAAATTGCAGGTATGTTAATTTTCGACAGACAAAATCACAAGTTATTTAGTGTTTATGTACCATTTATATTTTTTCTGTTTGCATGTTTAGAGGAGTTGTGGCAATAAGATGTCTGTTTTTTCCCATTTAATTAGGAGGCCTGCCACTGTAACTCTTGGTTAAATCTCCTATTTGGTACATGGCTGTAGGAAGAGCTGGCAGGTATGGATCAAAATTCCCTGTCGGAGAAGTGACTTGTCTTGATGGAGCTGATCTACCCTTGCTTCATTCATCACTCAAATCTCCATCCCCTCCCCTGGAGGTGAGAATCTGTGTATTTGACCCTTACAAATAGAATACTGCGATATAATGTTTGCTTCTAGTCCATGAGTCACTTTTTCCCTTCTCCTGCAGCGTGCTGGATTATTCCCTTCATTTGATCTCATGTACATGCATTCTCGTTTGCATCCTGAACTTGACCTTTACCAGATATTGGTAAGTCACATTTCTTTATCTTTCTGATTCATCATTCCCCTTGTCTTCCTTTCATTACTCAGCTGCTCAAAAGAGTATTATCTGTTTCCCACTTTCCCTGTCACATTTGATTTATCATTACCCTTGTATTCTTCTCTCCAGGAACATTTCACAAAAAACGCCAAGCTATCAGATAACTATTTCATTGCAGATTGCGAAGAACTATTGGTTAGTGTTGTATGATCTTTTTTCACCCTCTAGCATTCCCTTCTCCCTTTTAATGATAAGAGGCCTGCAGTTTTAGCTTGTTAAGTGTACAATGGAAGCTTTCTTTTCTACATTTCTAAATCCAACTCCTGATGACCAGAAAGCCGCTGTTGTTCTGGATACATTGCCCCTTTCGTTACATGATAAGTACCTGTTCTGCATCAGGTAAAATTAGTCTCCAAACTTCCCTGTATCTTAAGGTCCTTGTTAGTTCTTCTTCTCTCAGGTTCGTAGTTATTAATATATTTTTCACTGAGCAGCCCTGTCGACATGAATGATGAAATCTCGTCTCAAGGTCTTACACAGGTAAGATGCATATATGTTTGTCGATCGATATTTGAACAATAGGTGTTCAAATGGAGTTTAGTTAACAAGAACTTCATATTTGTGTCTCAGTTCGCCTCAAATTATTCAAAAAAAGGCCTTGTCCGACTTAAAGAGATCTTTACTCCCGGATCACTTATGGTGCCAAAAACACCAGCAGCGCTACAAGAACTTGAATCCATCCACAAGGTTAGCCACATTGCATAGACAGCATTACTAATTTACATCGCACATGGTCTCTGATCTTCTCTTGATAACATCTGAAGGTGTTGGATCTCTATGTCTGGTTGAGTTTTCGGTTAGAGGATTCATTCCCAGATCGCACACTGGCAGCTTCACAGAAAGCCATTTGCAGCATGTAAGTGTGGGCTGAAAGCTACTTTCTTTCTCTGTTTTTCTTTTCACCTGGCCATTTTGGTCTGATGCTCTCGCTATTTCGCTACGTAGGTTGATTGAGGAGTTCCTAGAAAGATTTGGGTGGCAAGCACCGGCAGCAAAGAAGTTGCCAGCAACGACTAACTTAAGATCTCTTTTCCAGAAGAAGACATATTTGAAATGATAATTACACTTTGACGAAACATGTACAAACTTTCTTCTTTTTACACGATAAAACTGAGCAGTTTTGCTCCAAATCTCATGTTACTGTTTATGCAATGAGCAGTTTTGCCAAAAGATGGATCATTGGTTATAGAACGCGCTGCCATGAACCTGCTTTTCAGGGTGAAATGTAGGGTAAAATGCCTGGAACGAATGTTCTAACCATATAGTTAATTGACTGACTAAGCACCATTAAGAAAATGAACTCACAAGCAATTGGTCCTAGGCCTCAACAAAACTAGCATAATCTCGCTCTTTCCTTGTTGCCTGACAAGACTTCATCAGCTTTTTCACATTCTCCTCAGCTTCAGTCAAGCCTTGTCCCTGAAGATCCTCCAACAACGACATGAACAGTTTATCCTTAGGAACCATACCCTTCGAAACTGCTTCCTGAAGAAACATGCATGCCTCCTCAAGTTTGCCAGACATAGAAAGCCCACGCACTAGAAGCTCATACGTCCCAAGATCAATGCTGACATCGTTAGCAAACATGTGATTAAGCACGAGCTTCAGCACTCTCAACGCCTTCTTCTTGCAGCACAACTTCAACAGTGGTGCATAGGTCTTAACATCTGGCTTGATGGAATCTTCCTCCATCTTCTGCAGCAGTTCCAAAGCATGTGTGCCTTGCCAATGTGCACAAGCAGAAGCAATCATGGTGTTGTATACCAACAGATTGGGACGAATGCCTTGCTTTGCCATATCCCGAAATACATCCCAAGCATCCTTAATCCTTCCTGAATCGCTCAAAACGAAAATCACAGAGCCATAGAATGAGGCATCAGGAACACAGCCATTTCTCTTCACCTCTTCGTAAATCTCCAAAGCTTCGTTCGTTTGTTTGGCTTTCCCTAGAGCGTGCATGATTATAGTATAGGAAACAATACTGGGCTTGCAACCTTTCTCTTGCATCTCCTCTAAAATGGCGTCCACCTTTCGGAAATCTCGATCCCTACAATACGCTTCGATGAAGCAAGTGTAGGCAAAAGCAGCAGGCTGAAACCCTTGTTGCTCCATATCCTCCATGGTTCTTCTCGCTTCTACCAACTTCCGCGCCTTGCAGTAGCCATGAATCAGAATACGGTAGGTGTTGGAATCCGGAGGTATTAAATCCTTGAACTTCAAAAACACACTCTGAGCGCTCTCGACGCTACACTCTTTAACCAATGCATCCATCAAAATGTTTAGTGCTGCTACATCTCTAGCGACACCAAAACTCTCCATTTTCCCGAACGCCTCACAGGCATTTTCGTACATACGAGCTCTAGCAAACCTCCTAATCACCTTGGCCATCGTGTTTAACGACACATACCCTTCTAACCCCTTCATCTCCTCAACCAATTCCAGCATCAAAGTGAACTGCTTGCACTTACCCAGAGCATCAACCATGAAATTGTAAACTTCCGGGTCATGCACATAACCTGTTTGATCTTTTGCCCAAGTGAAGAAACCCAGAGCCGGAACCCAGTCGTTGCTAAACCTCTTCAGAATATGCATAACCAAATCGCGGCTGACCTTAACATCGCACCTACTCAGCGCCTGCACGACGCCGTTGGGTGTCGGGTACCGGTTCTTCAGGATTTGGCTCACTTTGTCAACGTCGGCGTCATTTGCTCCGGACAGCAAGCGTCTGGCGACCCTCACGTGAGTCCCGTAACCGGGTTTCGCAAACAAGCTGGAAAGAGGAGGAATAACGAAATCGTCGTCGTCGGCATCTTTGGTCGCCGAGATTTGGTCGTCTCGGAGCCAGGTCGGGAGGTCGGGCGACTCGGGCGATTCCGGGGGTTGGGGTAACTCGGCCTGGGAGCATAAGGACCTGGGAATCAAATGAAATATCTTTGGTTTCCCGGTACGCAGGAGTTTTTGGATGAGCTTGATAGCTCGGGTCGAAGACAACATGGCTTAGACTCTTCGCCGGCGAGGAAAACAAAAAGGAACTAGCAGACTGGCGAAAGCGGCGGAGAAGAGAAGACCGTCCTCATTTGTGAAGACATAGTAGTGGCATAGGCCCAACAGTCCGCCTTGTAAAAGGCCTAATCTCTTAGTGGGTTGGGCTGGCCCGACGTCGCAAACGCTGCAACCCTGTCGATTGCTCCTTCTCTTCCTCTTCCTCTTCTAACAGACTAACATAGTTTTTGGTAGGGGTGTTCAAACGGTTTGGTTACCATGGTAACCGTTTTAACCAGTACTATTTGGATAATTTGGTTTGGTTAATTTGGATAATTGGTTTGGTTTGGTTAAAGTGTTTAGCTTGTTTGGTTTAGGTGGTTTGGTTTGGTTTCAGACACTCCTAACCAGTCAAACCAAATTAACTAGTTAAGTAATTAGTCATATATCTAACATATATTATATACACATACTTAATACTTTACATAACCACTCAAGAGATAACGTTCATCCCTTTTAGACTCATAAAATATAAAACTCAATATTGCTCATATAGTGTATATTTGTATATGTAAAATGTAGACCACAACATATGGACGCCTAATTTAGATAAATTTCATACATTATGATGGATGAAAACTTGAAAGGAAGGTCATTTCCAACCTATGATAATTGCTAAGAGACTAAGTCAATTTATATAAACACAACAATTCATTAACCCATACCATTGTCATAAATTTTTGTTAGTGAATGAAACATCCCTTCTCTTTGAATTTGGAAAAAGACATTTCTACCCCGGGGTATAGTTAAAAATCTCAAATAACACAAGTTTAAATAAAAATACCAAACTCAAATATCTCAATATCTCAAACCGTAGCCCTAAACATGTGGGCAAAACTCAAATTGTCCAAAGGAAATGAATCTCCAGTCTTTAACTCTTAACCATAATGTCTTAATAACTTGAGAAGTTCTTCGAAGCTTACTCTGACGCCTGACTCGACATCTCTCAACGACGATAGAGTTGAGCTCCTCTAGCTTGCTGATCGCGGACTGGCTGGTTTGGATTTCCTCCTCTACGATCTGGTGAGTGAATTGGGGTCAGTCTACGCTCTTACGATAAGATCTATAGTACTTTAGTATTCTTCTCTAAACACTTAACTTCTATTAGTGGAAGTTGTTTTGTACTTACACTCTTAAAACTTATAACTCATAAAATTCTTCGGGAGTTAAAGTTAGTCTCCCTTCTTAAAGCTCAAAACTTTACTTAAATCTTTTGACAGACACGGGGATCCCTCACTAGCTAGTCCGGTTGCCAACTCATACGTATGAGAAGCCATTCAGGCTTTCCTTAAACTTAAACTTAGTTAGGGAAGTCGTAACGATTCATCCCCCTAACGTCTTAAACTTATCGTGGTGGCTCTTCACCACGATTCTCAAGGGCATAACTGCTGCCCATCTTAAAAAATCTCAAGAGCATAACTGCTGCTCTATCTCAACTGTCTCAAACGGCAACGGACTGGCGCTAGTGACTAAAAACACTTAAAACGACTTCACCTTCTTGAAGGTGAGTTACTTCTTAAAAAGGACTGGCTTCTTAACTTTAACGATAACTTATAAACTTAAAGCTTAAATTTAAATAAGAACTCATGCAAATTCACATCAAGCATAGCTCAACACAATCACATATCATCAATCATAAGCACAATCAAACAACGACATTCACTTCATCAAAATACTCAAAACTTGAAATTCTTGAAAGAACACGTAAGGCGTAGAATTTACCCCCTTTACACTCACCTTAAAAAGCTGACTCCTCGATTCTTTACTCGAAGAATCCCTCCTAGCCGAATTATCTCGGTGAACCTATTAATAAGAAAGTCATCTCCTTAGTCGACCTTTCTCGCTTTAGAAACCCCTTTTGGGTCACTCGAACATCCTCTCCTCAACATCCAGCCCTAGAGACTCGCTCCCAGGGTCTCTTAATCCCCGTTAAAATTTTTCTAAAAACAGTCCCTTCAAAACCAACCACTTTTCCTAATTATTTTAGTCTTGAACGAATTTTCCACCTAACTTGAACCTTCTTAAAAATTCGGATCGTAATTTTCCTACATCTATCAAGAGTACTTATACCATGGAAAATTATCAAACCCTTATAATCTCATCGGAATTATTTTTATTTAATTAAAACGAATGTTCGAACAATTTCTAAAATTATAAATACATCTTCAAAAATTCCTAAATTAATTTACAGCCATCTCCTAGACCTGCTTCAATTTATAAAAATTTTAAACGCAAGGACAAACCCTCACAGAGACTCGAACAAATTTAAACCATCCAAAACCAATTTTCTGAAAGTTCCCAGCAGCTTTAGTGACCACCCAAACCCTGTCACTAAAGGCCTGATCGCCTGTTGCTAAAACCACAGAATTGCACACTCAAGAAAAACACCAAATCGATCGATCTAACTCCAAGGAATCGAGTTCTCTTACCTCTAGAACGTGCCTAGGTCTAGATTGGCTGATCCGGGACGTTGATCTCCTCGTTGATCGAACCCTCAACGTCACCGCTAATAAAAAACCAAGCTTCGAATTAATCTAACGATGAATCGCGTATAGAAATCGCGAAAGGGGGTTCGTGATCATTACCTAGAACACGAAAGGAATGGGATCGGGATTGGGATGGCGCCTGCTTGCGGCGCTGGGGAAAGTCTTGCTGCTTGCTGGGATCGGAAATTGGGGCGGGGTCTGGGAAAGGAAATTGGGGAGAGGGAAAAACATGAAGGGTCGGGGAAAAGGAAATGGAGAGGGCGGCGGGTTTGGGGATTATATTGAAGGGTCTGGGGTTTAATTCTTGCTGACGGTTATAACTTCATTTTTTTTTTTTTTTTTTTTGTTCGGCTGTGGGGAAAAGAGATGCTAGGGAATGGAATAGGCGGCTGGGGAAAGTGGCCGCCCTGCTCCTTTTTTTTTTTTAAGTACTAATAATAATAATGATTTTATTATGATTATTACTACTACTAATCCGCGATTGCAACTCCTAGTACGCCACTGTCAACCCAACCGATTATGTACCACTGTCAACAGAGAAGTTCACCCACTAACGATCTAAACACCATTAAAACAACTCTGGGTACCTCTCTCTCATGCTACTCTCTGTCTCCCAAGTCGCAGCTTCGCTGCCCTGGTTTCTCCATACCACCTTCACCATGGCAATCTTCTTCCTCCTCAACTCCTTTTCCTGCCTATCCACGATTTGGATTGGAACCTCCTCATAGGTCAAGTCATCTTCCAACTGGATGTCCTCGTGTCTGATCACATGCTCTGGGTTGGATCGATACGCCCTTAGCATGCTGACGTGAAAAACGTCGTGGATCCTAGATAGGCTGGGAGGTAAGGCTAGTCGATAGGCTAAGGGTCCAATGCGCTCCAACAACTCATATGGACCGATATACCTTGGACTAAGTTTTCCCTTCTTACCAAATCTCATCACTCCCTTCCAAGGAGACACTCTTAGGAATACCATCTCACCCACTTCATAACTTCGCGGGGTCCCTGGCCTCTCAGCATTACTCTTCTGCCGATCCTGAGCCGCCTTCAAGTTCCGGCGAATCACCTCGACTTTCTCCACTGCCTTCTGTACCATTTCTGGTCCCTCTAGCTGTCGCACGCCCTCTGCATCCCAGTACTATGGTGTACGACACTTCCTCCCATACAATACCTCATATGGAGCTGCTTGTATCGAGCTGTGATACTGGTTGTTATAAGCAAACTCCATTAGAGGCAAATGCTCGTCCCAAGCTCCCTCCATGGTCAAGACACACGCCCTCAACAGGTCTTCCAGTGTCTGAATCGTCCTCTCCGACTGCCCATCCGTCTGAGGGTGATATGCGGTAGAGAAGTGAACTTTAGTGCCCATTGCCTTCTGAAGACTCACCCAGAATCGTGCAGTGAAGCTAGGGTCGCGATCAGACACGATACTAAGTGGAACTCCATGCAATCTCACTATCTCCCTCACATACAGCTTAGCCAGCTCCTCTAGCCCTGGCTTGAACTTGATGGGTATAAAATGAGCCACCTTCGAGAAGCGGTCCACAATCACCCATACTCCATCATTTCCCCTTGGGGTTCTCGGTAAACCATACACAAAATCCATGGTGATCTTCTCCCAAGTCCACTGTGGGATCTCCAACGGTAGGTGCTCAATGACTGGAGCTTGATGTTCAGCCTTGATCATTTGGCACTCCAAGCATTGGTAGACATGTGTAGCTACATCCTTCTTCAACCCTGGCCACCAGAAATGCTCCTTGAGGGTACGATACATCTTAGTAGCCCCAGGGTGCATTGCATAGGGTGCAGAGTGAGCCTCATCCAGAATATCCTTCCTTAGCTTGTCAACATCTGGGACACACAGCCGTCCTTGATACATCAATACCCCATCTACCAGTCCAAATTTGGTGTCCTTCCCTTCTAACACTTGCTTCTTGTACTTTTCTAATTCCAAATCTTCACTCTGCTTCTCCTTGATTCGTTCCTGCAGCATAGGACGAATTTTCAAAGTTGCTAGCAACTTTGTTACCTCCTCTAGCTCCAATTCCACGTTCATGGCCCTCAAAGAGACCAACTCCGATAAAGGGCTCTCCCTCTTCCTGCTCAAGGCGTCAGCCACCACATTTGCTTTGCCCGGATGGTACTTAATGGTGCAGTCATAATCGCTCAACAGCTCCACCCACCTTCTCTGCCTCATGTTCAACTCCTTCTGATCAGTCAAGTGTTGGAGGCTCTTGTGATCAGTGAAGATGGTGAACGTCTCGCCGTAGAGGTAGTGTCTCCATAACTTCAAGGCAAAGACCACTGCTGCTAACTCCAGGTCATGGGTGGGGTAGTTCACCTCATGGGGTCGTAGCTGTCTCGAGGCATAGGCGATCACCTTCTTATCCTGCATTAGTACACAACCCAAGCCTTGGTAGGAAGCATCGCTATAGATAGAATACTCCCCACCGTTGGTCGGTAGTGCTAGCACTGGTGCAGAGGTCAGCTTCTTCTTTAGCAACTCAAACGCTGTTTGACACTTCTCGTCCCAAACAAATGCTTTCCCCTTCTGCAATAGCTGTGTCATGGGTCGTGCAATGCTGGAGAACCCTTC